CCCCCCGCACAGTGGTCCAAGACGCCAATCTAGCTGGAAAAAAGTCAATTTTTTTATGTTTCAAAGTTCACATAATTTGTTTGGTAATTGTTAGATAACTATCCACTGTGCATAACTGTATATCAAGTTTTTTTTTTTTTTGCGTATTTGCTTTGTTTTGATGTTTTGAAAATGAACAATAGCATTGTCACTGTTGTTATAGCAGCTCAGTCGATTGACAACATCACATTTGAACTGATCGTAACATCAAAGAAGAGCAAATTTTTTCCTTATTTTTTTTTAAACTGCATTATGTCAGGTATGTTTAAGCTATATTATAAATAAATGTCGAATTTAAATGTTGTGTGCAAAATAATAGATAAGAGGAAATATGTGTTTTGTGTAGTAAAAATTTAGCATTTTATGGTTTTTAGAGTAACTTTTAAATAGGATTCCCGTGGATTCCCGTGAAATGAATTGTGCCCTGTTGATCTGGGTAATGTCCACTTTAGATGAAAAAAAAATTGTCTGCAATTATTTACCGGTAAACTTTTTATATACATATATAGACAACATACCCATAACTCGGAGAGAACTATATAATGTGTGGATCGCCGAAATGGAAAGCAAAGAAAGCTGTACAAGCTGTCATTAGCTATTTTTTTCCTAAGAGTGGGTTACAGAAAACTTAAACAGAAGATTATTGCAATAAAGTTAAGTTAGCTGTACGGAGATTAACGTATTCAATTAACGAAAGATGGATAAAAGCAAAAAGATCTAAGAAATATTTTGAAGACTCCAACAAAATTTGGTTAAATGGAGTATTTGGCCTTCCTTCTAAAAACGTGATTAAAATTCCAGAGGATTTAGGGATCCAACCGTCAACGTCAAATTTCGGTAGACTTCGATCAGATTTTTCAGGTAAATCTGAAAAAGGGAAGCGTTTGGAAGTATCGGCTTTAGTTAGTGGTTGTTCACCTGAGAAACTAGTTTTCGCTGCTGGCGTTAGTCCTTATAAATCTGGCAAGAGGGATGCTGCCGCGATTCTAAAGAACATAAATGAATCTCCAACGAGGGCAACTAAAATTAAAAAAAATTGTTAATGCACAATCTAAGGAACCAGTACCATTTACAGATGAAGAAGCATTACGTCTGTTTATCGATGTAAAATATACAAAAGCAAGTTATAATGCGATGCGTACTGGTGCTAAGATCCGTAACGCGGATCATATCATAGAATTTTGGAAGCTAAAGAAAAGTGCTACCCAAGTAATGGAATAAAGGTATCCGATGTAATAGCAGAAGTGCCTCTGCAGGACTTAGGTGATCACACGGCTTGTAGAATTTTAAAGTTACAAAAAGAGGGCATAGAGGAATTCAATTATACGGAATTGACTTTGATTTATAAATGGGGATGTGATGGTAGCAGTGCCAGATAGAAGTAGGGCTGCCAGATATCTCTGTTGCCAAACCGGGACACTTAAGGGCGGGCAGAGGCCTCTGGCTCCCTTCCACTTCGTTTCGACAAAAATTACGTACGAAAGGATGTAGTAAAATTTTATTTTGACAAAAAAAACATAAAAACATGAGATCATGAGATCATTGCAATGTACACCAGCAAAACAAAACAATTTATGACAACTAAAGTACAGAGAATTTTCCACAATGCATGTACCTTTTTTGTTCCTTATAAAAATACAGTTTATACTAAATACATCAGAAAACATAAAAAATTAAATTTATAAACTTTGTGCAAAGCTCGGGAAAATGCAATACTTTTGCATACGAATTCGCACCTTCTATTCAGACTTTTTTTATAAAAATTTTGAAAATGAAGTTTTGCAGCCCATAAAAATTTAGTTGACTTTTGGTATTGTTTTTACTGAGAGCTTCTTCCATACAAACTATGTTCGACATTTTTTTGTATGGGGAAGACACTGTCAGCAAAAAATCAGCGAAATTTACTGGTAACTTCAGACTTGAACTTTACTAATTGGCTGAAAAGCTACATTTTCAAAATTTTTCTAAAAGATCTGATTAGAAATTGTGATCAGATGAAAGAGTCTCCGAGCCAATAATTTTGTACGGCACGGTACTTATAAGTAATCTAGGTTTCACAAAAAAATTAAATACAAGGTCAGGATCAGTCATTTGTTTCGTTTATTTATTTAAATTCCATGCTGTCGGTAATGGGATTTGAACCCTGACGCTCTGGAAATTAGCAAATTATGGCAGGCATCTTCGTGCACTCAGCTACAGCCAGACATGTAAATGTGCATTCAAATGTTCAGTTTGATTCAACACCACGTGTGCGTGGTATGAAAGTATTGTTTTTAAGTACGAACATTTCAAAACGATAATCAAATAAAACATATTCATGTTTACTATGCGTTACTTCCCCCAGTAAATTCATAAAATTTTTCTTAATATTACAACGCGTTTTTTCTCTCAGTGTAGTCATTTTTATGCAAAATTTGTGCAATCAAATCGAAACCCGGGACACTTAAACGAAACCCGGGACATTTTATAGTTGGACCGGGACACCGGGACAAATAGTCTATATCCGGGACATGTCCGGGAAAACCGGGACGTCTGGCAGCCCTACCTATAAGCAAAACTTTAGTTCAAATGATTCCCGTAAAACAGATGAATATTTGTTTGCAATTTGCTTGGTACCTTTGCAGCTAAAGTACGATAACCATATCATATGGGAAAACCCACGTCCGTCATCTACACGTTTTTGCAGGCCGATTAAACTGATTTTTGAAAAGGAAACAAAATCTTTGATTCAAGATGAAACTAATTACATACAAAATCAAATTAATGCAATAGTGTCAAAAGCTTCTAACATTGAAGATAAAACATTTATTGTTAAACATGTGTTTTATTTAACAATGATTGATGGCAAGGTTTTCTCAATTCATAGCGATTCCTCTACTCAAAGATGTGGTATTTGTGGAGCAACGCCAACCATTATGAATAAATTGCACGAAATTAAAGCCTTGAATTTAAGGGCCAATCTTTACGAATATGGGTTATCGACATTGCATGCGTGGATAAGGTGCCTGGAATGTGTATTGCATATATATATATATATATATGTTACAGGTCTATTCTGCGCTGGTAATAAAAATTTTGTAACCGGTAAATTAAGTTCCTGTAAATTTTTAAATCCTTTTCGCATTCTGTGTACTCTTGTAACCGGTAAATTTTGTTACCATCTCATAAGCTGGTATCAAATTATTGCCCCGTGAAATATTCTATGCCAGGATTTGCACAATTCTTCATAACTGAATTGCTGAATATTTTAACTGCATTACCAAAGTATTTAGAATCGCGGTGACAAGAACTGGTAACATTTTTTGGTAATACAATTTTCCGGTTACAAAATCTTTGGTAACGTGCAGAATAGACCTTTTAGTGGTTTTGGTTTAAAAAACAAGAAGCTATAAATTATGTACACCAGCTGAAAGACAAATTAGTTATCTTTATGGTGGCGTCATTAGTTTTTTTATCGGTTATACTTACAGTTCGTAAGATATTAATATTTAAAAAAATTTAAAAACTGAACTTTAACCTTCTAGAACATCTTGATTTTTTTACTTGCGCCAAATAATTTTGTCATGGTTGAAATGAGCATAAAAAGTCTGTTGATCTGCAGCTTTCCTTTTTGAATAGCTGAACGGTCGGTTCCAGGAAATGATGAATAACTTAAATCAAAAATGCACGTATTTATGTATTGTTTAGTATTTCCATTAAAACACCAAATATATTGCAAATTTGCATAGAATAAATAATACACATTTTACTTCTAATTGTATACTTTTCGTACTTTTTGTAGTACCTTTCTACGACCGTTTTCGCAAAAGGCGATCACATTCTTCCCCTTTCTCCTACTTCCAAATACAAATCTGGATAAAGGAGTGTCAAATTTTAGCTGTCACAAATTACATAACCTTGTATTATTGAATCATGCCCATGATACAATAATTTTTAGAAGGTAGTTTCACTTCTTCTTCTCCGCCATGTTAGCTATCTGACAGAAAACGTGTTTCGTATTTTATGTTGTACCAACTTTTTCAAAAAAAAAAATCCAGCTTTTGACGTTGGAAAAATAAAACAAAGAAAAGCCAAACATATAAGTAGAGTATTTTGTAATCATTTTCTTCACAAAAAATTAACTGCTGCTTTCGTGGATATTGCAACACACGGAATAGATGTAAGGACACAGCTATAAGAGCCACCGCACACCACAGACTTTATCGGCCGCCTATTTAAATGATAGGGCTCGCTTGAAATATGTACATGAAGATGTATGGAGGTGCGCACATTACACCAGCTTAATCGCTCTGACCAATAAGTTGCGATGCAATGGAAAGACTAGCGAGCACATCTAAATTGGCGGCCGATAAAGTCCGTGGTGTGCGATGGCTCTAATCCATTATAAACAAGAAATATTGCTGTTATATTTTCATTTTTATGATTTTTATTCATGTGATTAGCAGTGGCAAAAATGTATGTATAAAATACGTATATTTATATTAAAAAATAAGTGATCAGTTATGAAACATATAAATCTTTACATGTTCTGTTAAAAAATATCTAAAATAACAAGCGATAATCCCCAAGTTCTATATCGTAGCAGTGGCCACATTGCGTGGTTGTCACAGACACGGTTTATGTCAAATAATTTGAAGTGAAACAACCTTCTAAAAATTATTGTTTCATGATCATGCCTTTGAACTACAAATTTTAAAAATTATTTAAATTTTTGTTTACGCTTCGAACACCACGTCAACATACATATACTCGTACCTACATACATGAAATTATAAATTACCAAATATACTTATGTATACATATGTATAAGTACATAAATATTTACATATGTAGAAAACCCACCAGTAAATATTCATAGGTATACCGAATTCAATTAATATATGCAAATATTTCGCAGGTATAATGCAGCAAGATAACGCAGAACAGGTTATACTGGATCCTAAGCTTATCGCTAAGCATTATTTAAAAACATGGTTTTTCCTGGATTTAATTTCTTCGATCCCTCTTGACTACATTTTTTTGATTTTCAATCAAGTAAAGGAAAATATTTTCTCTTTTCTGGAAAGGAAATTTTAACGACATATTTAATTTTACAGGATTTTTCCGATTCCTTTCAAATACTTCATGCGGGGCGTGCTCTTCGTATTCTACGCCTGGCCAAGTTACTTTCTCTGGTTAGATTATTGCGGCTTTCGAGGCTTGTACGCTATGTCTCACAATGGGAGGAAGTATACGTAAGTATGCAATTCTAATCTATAAATAGCATATATCTATATATGTGTATGTTTTTGTATTTGAAGCTGTAAATTGTTAGATTCGATAACGTTTTAATCCCATATAGTTACTAGTTCATATTGAATATGTAATTATTTTAGAGTTCATATTAGATTTCCAAAGGTAAATCACACATATTTTATGTGAAGTTAAGGAACTGCCATACTTCAGTTGATATTCTGCAAAAAAAAGTGTATCAAAATGTTTCATTCATAGTGCCACGCCTCATATCTGATATGAGGGCACTAAATACTTTTATTTAGTTACATACATACGACAAAAAATTTAAAAGCATAATTCCCATTAGCATAGACCTTGTCCTTTAATAACTGCTACTCCATTTCTTGGTGGTATCAAAATCTTTATATTTTAGCAGGAAATGTCTCTTTTATTAATTTAACTTCGATGCGTTTTTTTCCAAACGCTAACAAAAAGGTGGTTATAATTCCAGATGTCGTCTCATAATGCTTTGAGTAGTGAACAATTTTATAATACTACAGGCGTATACTTTACATTTGAAGTCTTCGTAATCAACTTATAAGCCCTACGTAATTTTTTAGTTAAGTTGACAGCAAAATCTTAAATAAAATTATAGTTTAAAAACTAAAAACTCGCTTTTATTCAAATAAGAACTAAAAAGTAGAAAATAATTTATAGACATAAAGATTTCCTTTGAGAGGAACTGGAAGTTCCATAACTTGATTTAATTAAACTTTTAAAACCAACCTAAAATAGTAAATAGGAAAACAAAACGTGGGGTGCTCGACATCAATTAATTTGAACTTTTCATTTTCAGTTAAGTAATATTGAATATTGTCAATAGCAGGACTATGAAATCTAAGAAGCACCCCTCGCTTTGTTTTACGTTAAAATTAATTTTTTTGTCAATTACTGTAATACTATTTTACGTTGGTCTTAGAAGTTTAATTAAAGCAAGTTAAGGAATTATATTCTTCTCAAAGGAAATTTACATTTATATTAATTATTTTCTACTTTTTAATTCACATTTGAATAAAAGTGAGTTTTTAGTTTTTTAAACTATAATTTTTTTTTCATATTTTAAGTCTTAAATTCAATTGATTTTAAAATTATTATGTATATAACGAATAGAATAACACGAAATCAATCGTTGGAATTTTCATTCGTACTGTCATCAGCAGGGAACGGATTTTATGGAAATTGCCTTTTTTTCTGCTAAAGAGATATAGTATATTCGATTAAGAATGTCCACGATTTAGCTTTTCCTGATTCCATATATGGGCATTTCCCAAAAAAGGTAAACCGAAAATGCAAGTAAATGAATTTAAACGGCTTTATAACTTTATATTTCGCATTCAGATGGCGAAAAGAGGTTTTGAAAACGGGAAGCTGTGGGGAGAAGAACTGAAAAAATTAAATAAAAAATTAAATTTAGAATGTGTTACTATAAAAATATTGTATGGGGGGAAAATCTGTCGCGTCCGTTACCAGATTTTAATTCAAAATTAAATCAACAACAAATTGCTTCTGATTAAAAATGAATTGGTTGTAACGGTCCATAATTAGACTTTATTTAAAGAATGTTTAATAAAGGAAAACCTTACACGATTCGCTGAGTTTTGCTTAGTTTTAACATGTACTCTGAAATCACTTCTGTTTTTGTCGCGTGCATTATGCCCTACTTTTCATCGATTTTCTCGACTTCAGTGTGCCAAGCGCACCAAGTTTTTTGTCAACCAAAGGACGGTATAAAAGCTACACAACAGCACATTTTTTTTTACAAGTGACTTCAGTTTTCGTATGATTTATTTAACTCTAAAGTCGTACGAATGTCGCGTCCGTAACCCAGGAAATACCCATATACACATTTGATGTTGCCTTTTTTAAGATATTTGCCTTTTTTAAGATATTTGCCTTTTTTTGCCTTTTCTACCTTTAAAAAAGTGATTATAGCATTTACAATTTTTTTTTTTTTAAGATTAAAAAATATTCACAAGCCCACGTGGCTTATAGAATCGCAGGGACCTCTTGCCAAATTGGTGTTGGAAAAATTCAAAGCCGTTTTCTCAGCTAACGTAGGCTTGGAGACAATAAGGCGTGAGGATAAAATTGTAAAGGGCGACGAAAACGCCCTTATTCCTGATAATATGAACGTTTCAAACGTTCCATATTTAAATTGGGCTCCACTTGTATCAACTTACGTATAGCGCACATTTAGTACATTCAAGGCTTTTCTTCGCGAAAATCGAATGAAAATGCTGCCAGAAAACTTCAAAATGCATCTTGTGGTTCAATATTACTACAACTATTCAGATTAAAGTTTTATGAGTTAGAAACTCGAAAGGATAAAATAGTCAAAGATTCAAAGTACAAATTTTTCATATAATGAAACTAGTTCATAGTTTTTTTCTTTTTACTTGTAATATAAACATTTCTAAAATAAATGTATTTTTTTGATTGTTCTTCGTATTTTCTTTCTTTTTTTAGTGCCTTATTTTGCTTTTTTTGCAATACCTAGTACCTTTTCCTGCCTTTTTCGCTATTTTGTTTTGCCTTTTTTTGCCTTTTTTGCAATACCTAGTGCCTTTTCCTGCCTATTTCGTTATTTTATTTTGCCTTTTTATAGGTTTTTAGGTCCTAAAAATCCGTTCCCTGGTCATCAGGTAACTTTAAAATGGAAGTTTAAAGCAATTCCCATTCGTACTGTCATTAGGTATGTAACTTGATAATGAAAAGGTCTGCATCTTTTAGGCGCATCATTATTAAATAGGGCCGTTTTCACCATCTCTGGTTAACACTAATCTCCAGTTAAGCATCGTTACCGACGTTATCGGGAATTTTTAGAAAAAATGTTGGTATGCAGTTTACCAGCCGGTTAAATTTTAGTTTATCTAATAAAATGCTAGCTTGAAGGAGCTAGGACTTACTAGTTGATTTTATAAACAAAATAAACTAAAACTAGTTAAAATATCGCATCTCTATTTTTTTGTCCACCCCCGCACGTCGTAACAAGTTCAAACGATTCATTGAGTGAGACAGTGTGCGTTGAAAGCATTATGTAAAACGTAGAACTAGATTAAATATTAGTACAGGACCAGGCTTCCTTGTTACCAACACTACTAACCAAAATGGTGGCAATATGAGGAACGAATTTTTACATTAACTACACGATGTCATTGGACAAGACCACATCTGGTCCATCGCTGCATAACATAGGACCGCCTACACAACTATCCCGTTTGAATCATGAACTAACTGCTTTTAAAAAAATAATAAAATTTATTTAAAATTCATTTTTTTTAAATCTCTTTACTAATATTCACATACCGCAACCAAATTAAATTGCCCGGTGATGCGAAGATGTGGTTTTCAACAAATATTTAATTTTTCACATTTGACATTGTCTAGGTCAGCATAACAAGTTAGTAGTATGTAACCTGCTCCTATTGCACACAGTATGTGCCACATGCGCTCTTGGAGCAATGGTCTGCTCATCACTGACTTGAAATATCAAATTTGTCATTTAGGGCCTTTTGAATTTATTACGTGTGTAGACTCATATCCATATTTTTGTTTTTAATATGATTCCACTTTAAATTCTACTTATTAAGCTCCCATATGAGAATTAATGAATACATTTCATTAATTATTTTCTTCACATTTTATCATAGTTTTCGTTCAAGCTTATTTGTATTATCATTGATTGGCAGCTATCAATTTAAAAATGTCACATTTTCACTTGCAAATATTTATAGTAACACAAAAAACCATGTCGATACTATAAATGCAGTTTTAAGAAAAATATGAACCTTTTAGGATAGTTCAGGCACTTATTAGTAAGCATTTATTTTCAGAAAACGGTACTTGGGATTCTTAGTGCCTCCTAAATAATTTGTTTATAAATAATCAAAGTGACTTAAAAGGCATAACGTAGAGTAGGGTCCATTGTTTTACTGCTATTTCAGTGCTGTTTCTTTATTCAGTATCTTTATATGTATGCATATTTAATTTAACTGCTTCAGTTAAAAATTCAATTAGAGGATGTGAAACCTTCATGATATATTAGTTAACGGCGCTAGGCGATTCTAGAGAGAGGTAGATGATTTGCGGCATAAAATTTGAAATACCCCAATATATCTCTAATACCTCGACATGTCTCGATATATATAAGCTAATGTCTGCATGCATATGTAAAAAAACAATTACACTAAGCTGTACGCATCTTTGGCGCTACCTCCAAAAAGAATTCCACTTATATTTTCTCCCCCCTTTTAAACGCTGAACTGCTTTATTTTCCTAAATCCTCAATATATTATTTAAATAAAAAAGCTCGAATGATGACTGCCGAAATATCTTAATAGATTTAGAATAAGTAATTTTTTAATAATTGTTAGTGTCAAGAAATATCAATTATCAATGTTTTAGTCTACCTATCAAACTATTTTAAATGTTTCATATTTTTTATCAAACATATACATACATATATATTATTTTAAAATAGGTTGCTTAAAATATTTACATCGTCAGATATTTATATAGTATATGATTCATATGGCAATTTTAAAAAGGTATGGTTCAATATTTTTTATTTACCAAATGAGGCGTGGCAGTGCCGATTTCCTGCTTAATCATATAACACCAATATATATGCTTTAAAAGAAACACATTCACATAAAATAGAAAATATGAATACTAAAAATTACAAATATGTGTATCTTTCCTTATTCTACATATAGAACTTTAAATTAATTTCGGTACTCTTTTGAAAACTGCTTAAGTAGTAAAAATATTTCGTATAAATGGTCAACCGAAATTCCAAATTTCGGATTCTTTCACAGAGACTCATTTGGAAGGCTAATTTAAAAAAGGTTCTAGATCTTGTGCTGCCTTTAAAAACACATCTCTGTGTTTTTCACTCGCAAAAAGACAATTCAATAATGAATTGAGCAGATCCTAAGAATATTCTTGGGTATTCGAAAACAAATGGAAATTTCTTCCTAATCCAAAAGAATCTTAAAATATATATATATTTTTTTTATTCAGACATACATTCGATTGCAAAAGTTTCAGTATCAATGCAATTACATACATATGTAGGTACAAATATATTATATATCTACTTAACGATAATATACATATGTACATATTAATTATTGAAAGCCCATCAGTTATTTACTATTGACACACAAACCGAACGATAACCGCTTCGTTCGTAATTTCAATCACAATTCCAATTAAAATTTTTACACATCAAATATATGTATGTAGCATCGTATTTTTTCGTACAAAAAATAAATAAAAAATAAAACTACATACACTTTGACATACTGCGATTCCAATACATTTGCAAATACCAACTACTAAATATTGCACACTTTTATACGAATATGATTAATATTTAAATACTCTATGTAACTTAATAATGGTGAAATATATACCAAGAAAATTAGCTTATCGGTATGTATGGTTCTAGATTCTGCAGAATCTGCAAAAAAAAAGTGCCGATCGAAGAGGGAGAATGCATAGAAAAGACAAAGATGGCTTGACTAAAAGCAACCTCATTCTGAAGGTAACCCAACCAACAATTTTCAACATTTTTTAAATGCAACCCTTGATTGAATAATTCATTATGATTGATTGATTAATTGATTGCTGTTATAGTTAAATATTATTGATTCACTAACGAGGAATGATTTACCCTGTTTCAGTTTTAAATAGTGGCATTTTTTTATTTTCGTTCTTTTAGTTATCATGATTGCTTACTTTTGAATTAATAATATTTCTAAACATTCCTTTTAGATTGACGAAAACCTGTTTTGATGCATAAAAATTCTAATTGCTTCTTTACTTGTAACGCACTTACACACACAGTACTTATTAAACATATGTATATTATGAGCGGCGTGGCGTTACAACACAACATTTATCCCTCTCAAAGTCGGTGTTTAAAATAAAAAACAAAAACAATTTAGTAATAATCTTAAAATATGGAAATAATATTTCGAGGGTTTACAAATTTTAAAATTTTATGAGTTCCAGACTTTTTTTTAACCACCTCTAACATAATTGACATCGATTATATTTCTGTTGACCGCATGTGAGGCCATCAAAACCAGAGTATCAAATCTGCAAAAATATAAGATATTATACGATATTATGAGAGAATGAAGTAATAAACAGCACTTCTTGGATCAAATCTACAATTAATTTCGGCTTGCTGTTGCCACCTATTATAAAATGGGTGCTACTCTGGTTATACTTAATCAACACGTTTATAGTTACTTTTTTTTTTGCTACATCTCTGTTTTCCCCAAAAATGCACATGTATGAACTATTCTGGTTCTAATGGCCTTATATGCGCATATACCATTTTAAAGCAAGGACCGTAACTGTTATAATCTTTATGAAAAAAAACTTAATTTAACCAGCAGACAATGTCCACCAGCTTCTGAGCCTTCCTGATAACGGAAAAATCCAACTCCCGTATAATCGCTTGCAAAAAAGTTGACTCTCTATCGGCATAGTTTCCTACATAGCACCTTCTTTTGCCGGTGTACCCCAGAATCCAGTATAGATGTATGTACGTCAGTGCCAGTATGTAGCAAATCTAGAGCCAGAGCTATCCTGCACTCCACAACACTACTTGAAGAAGTGCTGTGCGATAGAATTGCCTGTATCGCAGCCTGACTGTCTATGTAGAGATTCACTTGTTTATTTACTAGATCGCTGCTCAATAGATTTGCCGCTCTCATTATGACTAGTACTTAGACTGCAGTAGTTCCGCAGCTTACAGGTTTTTTAAAGACCTAGCTCCGCGCAGACGACTTCCGCCCCTACGCCTTTATGCGGCTTCGACCCGTTTGTGTAGACATTCACCGAGTCAGCACTCCTAGTGCCCTCAGGCCAGCCTTCGTCCTTTTACCATTATTGTCGTCATTCTACAATGGCTTGCTTAGGCACATGGTTGAAGGCCCCCGCTATGTCCAGAAAAACCGCCACTACGAATGCTCCGTTTTCCTGAACCACGTAAATTCGTCTAACAACATTGTGTAGGGCGGTTTCTACCGATTTTCAATTCGTTTAAGCGTGCTGTGTCTTCGAGAACATACGCGCGGTACGTTTTGTTTAATAAGTACGCCCATTAACCTCTCCAGGGTCTTTTGAAGAAACGATGTTAAGCTAATAGTCCTTATGGTATGCGTGGCTACTTCTATCCACTTTTGGCAAGAATACCACCCTCCCATTCCTCAAAGACGTTGAAACGACTCGTCTGCAACAACATCGAAGGAAAAACGCCGTATTGACCCGCCGACTTGTATAGCCAAAAGGAGCCCACTCTATTCTGGAGGACGCACAGTGTTTCGCCTATAAGGAGGCGGGTGAAAAGAATAGTAAACTCGCAAAAAATGTGGGCCCAATCATGGATTATTGGAATTTAGGTTAATTTCAGTACTTCGCTTTCCACTCTCAGAAATACCAAGGTTATGCTTAAAAATTACATAGATATAAATATTCTCAATTCTTTTAGTTTTTTGCGGGATTTCTTCTTTGTTAAGAAAATTATTTTCGCGAAATTACGCAAAAATAAAATAAAATCCAAAAATTTAGAAAATCGAAATTACATGTGTTTGCAAAGTCACGCAAAAAAAAACAATTATAAGCTCAGGGACTACAGAACATTTTCTAAAACATGCGTTTAATTTCAAGACCCGACGAACCAGTGTCACATGTTTTATACCCGAGCGCACTTGTGCACAAGGATATTATAACTTTGTTCACATAACGGTTGTTTGTAACAGGCAAAACTCATCGAGATAGATATAGACAAATGTATACATAAATGATCAGAATGAAAAAAGAAATCGATTAAGCGGTGACTGTCTGTCCGTCCGTCTGTGTGCACGATAACTCGAGTAAAAATTTAGAAATCTTAACGAAACTTCGTAGGTGTACTTATTTCGGGCGAAGTACGGATGGTATTGAAAATGAGCAAAATCGGACAATAACCACGCCTACCTGTAACGGTAGTTTTCAGAAATACGAAAACTCCGATATTTTAATAACTACTGAAGATTATTCCCTCAAAATTGACATTTACTATAATTTTTAGACGAAAAATAAGTGCATTATAAATTTTTGGAAAATGGACGTAGCCACGCCCACTTAAGATTACATAAGTATATCTTGGTAACCGCTCAACCAATTTTTTAAAAAAATCGGACAATACCCACGCACACATCCCATATAACGGTAATTTAGACAAATAAGAAATCTTCGATAAATCAGTATGCACCATGGTATGGTACCAAAGTCGGTATGATTATTGTGCTTGCCACATAAAAGCGGAACTTTGAAAATTATTGAAATCGGACTAAAATTGCGCCCACTTTTCGCATAACAGTAAATTTCCGAAATGCTTGAAACTTCGATATTTCGAAATTTAAGGGCGCTAATTTACTCAAAATTGATACTAACAAAAATCCCTTGAAAAGAAGTAGCATTATTATGGAATTTCGGAAAATGGGCGATTGGATCGAAAATGTTTGAAATAGGGGTAAAACCACCTCTGCTTACCATGTAGAGGTAGTTTTCGGAAAGGTGAAAAAACTATATTTAATACTTGCGCCGGGTATTTAATGTTCGGTTCCGTCAAACTTAGACTTTTTTTACTTGTTTTACTAATAATCTTTAGCAACTGCAATTCCAAGTCAATTTTTCGATAAGAATAGAAGAAAATACCAAATAAAAGATAAATACCTTAAACTTAAAGAATTGATTACAGTTGACACAGAGACACTTGCTTCTGTGGGTTCAGCGCCAAACGCAACTAAACTGATTAGTCGATATCACACAAATTCTAGTATTTTCTTAGAAATATACCGTTCGAGAGACGGGGTGAGTAAGTAAAGTAAAAAATTTTGCATTTATTACTTTTACTTTTTCTCTCTAAGCCCAACAGGTTTTTTTATCAAATGCCACCATAACTTTTTTCCACCTTCCTCCATATGTATAGTCAAAGCACTGTGAGGCGTAATTAGCTCTCTAACAAGGCTACCTCCTTCCGCAATCCTCGGCCCCAGGGAAGTGAGTGTAATAATATATCGAAACATACCTCGCCTCATTATGTATACTCGCCAAACGCGATAAGGATTTTGCAATGATCTAAATATAAATATCTTGGTATTTAACGGCTATTTTCGGTCCCTGCTTTGAAGTATATTTTACTATTTGATTTCACATTTATAATTAATGTCAGAGATCAAATTTAAGTCACAGAAATCCGAAATTTCTGAAAACGGATATTGAGTATAAGCCCTCGATATGTATTTTAATGCCTATTTACAGATGTGCATACAAATGTCTGTACAGTTGTATGTACATATGTATGTAGTAAATCCTTTTAATACTGATTTCGATGTAGGGAATTTGTTGGTTGGCTCGACACCAAGTTTTTATACTAAATGCTTTTGCTTCATTTAAACCACACTGTGTATGTACATACAATTAGCGCTTGAGCGAAGCCAATTCTTTAATTTAATGCGATCAGTTGATTTTATGTGAAATAAAAATTGTATTGTATAGATAAGTACATACATGCACACATACCAAATTATCAACTTTTATCTTTTAAGCATACATACATACATATGTACATAAGCATTAATTTTTGCAGGCTCTCCTGCATTCGTTTTTTTAAATATGTACATATCGATGGTCCTGTGCAATAACGACACAATTCAAATTTCATAAAATAAAAACTGTTACTACTGTTAAGTGGCTCATGTCTCTAATCCTGGTCGAATCCATGTCTAATCCATAGTACTTACTTTAGCAATCCTTACTGTTTAATTTAGTAAGAGATGGAAATGGATTAGATAAGGAGTAGAGACAAGAGCCACTTAACAGTAGTAACAGTTTTAATTTTTTGAATTTTGAATTGTGTCGTTATTGCAGAGGGCTATCGATATGTACAAATAGGACTTTAAATTCGACTCGCTCTGTTACATTTGATTGATTTCTCTTTAAACCAGATCAAAATAAAATCATTCCATAAGATGGATTTACATCCGTTAAATAACTCCCCTAAGTGAGCTGACATATGTAATTATAAAAACGACAAAAGCAATTATCACGATGCATGACTCAATAGGTTTGTTCCACACGAGCCCGCGGGTACCCACGGGTGCCCAAAGCAGCCCTGAAAGCGTTCCTCACGCAAGAAAAATGGGTAATAGAGAGCGAATACGTTCCACTTTTGGATCGTAAATATCTTCTTCTTTGTGCACGAAACAGCCCGGACTTTTTTTCCATGTGCAAAAGGGCAATTTGAAATAACTGCTGTTGTTGTTTAAATCCGAAAGCAAATTTTATAAAAACAAAAGTGCAAAATATCACAGAATTTTCAGAAAATGTAGTTATTTGGTAATTTTATTAGCCATATAAGATAAATACACGTAAAATCATTGTTTAGAGCTGATATGTTGATTCCGGGCACGAAATGTGGTTTTTTGCGTTCCTCACGCTGTGGGCACTTTTGGCACGTGTTGGCACATTTTTGACACTTGTGAG